GTGTCCTGCCCCCCCTTGAAGGTGAAGTTAATTTTATTTTCTATATAGCGGCAGATCACAACACAGAAAAAGGCATGATGAAGTCGTACCAAAGTCAGTGGCATTAACCACCAAGATATGGATTTCAGCCATTTCAGCATTTTCAGGGCAATTCTTCAGCAATCAGCATCCACACACATTTTCTTCAGGAAATGCATTTGTCTAGTTTAATTTGTGATGACTTCTCAAATGGACCAGTACAAGCTACAACAGAACTAAAAACCTGCTAGTGAAACGTGATGTTATGAATAATCTCAAACAAAACCACTCAAAGTACTGCAGGTAAATACTAAGTCAACATCTGGAGAATGCCAACCCATGTGATAATAATGAATGACTTTAAAGATTAACAATAAGTGTGCAAAGGTTTTGCCAGCTGGTTAGCTCAAACGCTGGATACAACATACATATTTTGGGACTACACAGGAGCAATTAACTGTGAGCTCAGGCTAAAAGTATTGCCCAGCCTCTTCTGTAGAAATCAGGCTTGGAGTAATACGTTGAGGTCTGACATAAAAACTGTCTGTAGGACCTTGGGTGAAACCACAAACATATGTCACTTTGGTTTCATTGCTGGGGGTGGCTGGGAGGGGAGAAAATCCCCACCGAGCATCAAGAAAATCATCAAGGTTCCTGCTTCTCATGAATATGAACAAAGACAAATTTGCAAAATGAAGGCTTGGGGCAGTACGTGACAGATGACATGTCAGATCAATATTTACCTTTTTTACTAAGGAAATCAAACAGGGATTCATTTATTCAGTGTAGTGAAACAAAGTTGCTCTGCAGGTTCAATATGTACGCAGACACTGAGAGGATCAAGCCCGACAGACACACTATAACACACATAGCCTCGAGATGTCTGTGAAGTCTAACAGTGATGAAAATTCAATTTGCAGACTTTTATGATGCTAAAGTAGAGACACTGTTAAACGTTGGTGCTACAATATTGTTTTGGATGCACTGTAGCTGACTTGAGCAGACAGCATCAGGAGCAGTGACTGGCTCAGCCTGGAGCAGGGTGATTTCACTGAGTAATACTGTCTGTTAACAGGTACAAGAAGGCAGTTATAGGGCAACCCAGTTCATAATGCAGTTTACTGATGCCTTACAGATCGGGATGAACAGGCACGTGCAGTTTGCCACTTATGATTGTGCACTGTAATCCTGATGGCTGTATGTGGGTGGATCAAAACACAGTGTCAGACTTACCCTGGTGTCCGTAGCTCCATTTTTAGCGCCACACAGCCTCATTTGCAACTCTAAAGTCAAACAGAAAGGTGTAAATATAAAAGGAAAAGGGAAAAGCTGAGCACAGACATGTTGCTTTTCATTTCCAATTTAAGCTTTCAATGGGTTTTCCACTTCAACTTTTCCCCACCCATTTCACATTTAGTTTACCTACTCATTTCACAACCAAACAACCAGTATTTAATCATGAACAAGCAGTGGAGAAACAAGGCTCTACAGCTCTGTGAAGGTCTAGTGAGCTCAGTGGTGCTTTGAGATAAACGTTAATATGCTGATGTATAACAGGTAATGTTTATTGGTGTCACCATTTTAGCTTAGTGAGCTTATGTGTGAACATGAGCAAACAAAAAGTACATCTGAGGATACATGAATGCCATTAGTTTTGCAGCTACTGCTAAAGCACTGGATAAATTGAAATTTTGACCTGATAATGGTGCTGGATGAAAAAAAATCTGTCGGTGGAAATCATTACAATTCATTGTGAATGCATGCACCAGATTTCACTGCAGTCCATACTGTTATTGTTGAGAAATTCTTAGAACCACATATGTCGACATCACTGTGATGCTAAGTGACTATCTATGATGGTGTCCCATCCACTAACAGGATTTGTGACCTATAGTGAGACCAGCTACCAGGGGGCGATCAGTTCACGGTGGTTTCACTTCTGGGAGCTGTCAGGCTGTCCATCATCAGTCAATGGTGGCATTAAATAAAAACTCACAGGATCACCACAGTTAGCAGGACTCATCTTCTGGGGACCACAAATGCTTGTACAAGATTTCATGGCAACTCATCCATTAGTTGTTGATATTTCAGTCTGGACAAAACATCACATTAAACAAAAAGATCACTTTTCATAACATCTTTATTGAATCTGTGACTCCGTTTTAAACATATTTACAGATAATGTCATTTTATTTTTTTAGTTCAGTAAAAATACAAATACAGAGCACTCAATTTTCAAAACCAGCATCGCTCCCAGCGACTCAGTGGCTGCCCAGGTTTCGCCTCAAGCTTCCTCCTTATCAGATACACGTGGTGAAGTCAGAGACCAGGGAACAGAGGCTGAGAGTCAGAACTGTACTGCATCTAAGTTCAGATGAAGGAGGGAAGTGGAGATGATACTGGTTTAATGATGAAAGGAATAAAAAATGGGGGACTGGGCAGACTGTGGGACTTGTTTTGTGATCAACGGTGTAGAGGTGTGTGGAGACTTTCACCTCAACTGTACATGGAAAGCCTGCAGTGTCACATCATTAAATTATATATAAAGCTGACAGACTAAACAAGAACTCAGCTGAACCCTGACTGGTCCCATGGTCAGAGGTTTGGTCAAAGTCATAGATATCCTAATAACTAACAAGATAATAAAACAGCACTGTGATGATACTGAAAAACGGATGAGAAAATGAGAAATGTCCTATAACTGCTACATATGATGCAGGCCTTAATTGTTTGACAGTTGCTGAAAATATTTTCTAAAGATGTTTAACTGTATGTCTTGATGATGTTTTATATTCGTTTGGGATCTCCTGTGTGGCACCTTCCGAGTGATGTCAGGGCTATGAGCAGTATTAAGAGGGGAAAGGAAAAGAGCAACGGTGCCATTCAGCTTGTGATCTCACATCCTGATTATCATTTTCGTTCCCTGCTGTCAGTTGATCATCTCCCACAGCTATGATCTCTTCATGTGCTGTGAAAGCAGCAAGAGCTGTTTGACTGTATCACACAACACAGCTTTACTAACAGACATACAGCTGACCCACAGATAAAGAGGCAGTTTTTTGTGATGATATATTGATATCTGATATATTTATATCAGATAAATATAAACTTATATTTCTAGCTGATATATTTAGATGAGACGATGTCAGGGGGGAATAAAGAAAGCTGGAATCAGGTCTCCACATCGACACATTTTTGAAGAACCTCTGAGTTATGTAGCTGGGCAGTAAATACAATCCTGAAGCCCGTTTCTGTCACTGCGATGCCCCAAACAGTCACTGTATATACTGTATCAGCCTTGTAGCCTGGTGTCAAATCTGATGTCTACTTCTACTCCATCACAACTCGGACTCTATATGCACGTCAGGCGATGTTTGAGCATGGCATTGGCCAAGGCGCCACATTTGACAATGAAGCTTGAAAAGAATCAAAGTCAGAAACAAATGAATAAACTCTGGGCTTCCTGTATCAAAGACAGGAAGCCCAGACGTTCGGACACACCAAAGATTCATGTCACACACACTGGCAGCCAACAAGCTTACAGTCTTCATGAGCCCACAGCCACTAAGAAAATATGGGTCTCTCTCTCACCACCTCCCTCCCAGTTCATTGCACAGGTTTGTTAAGCCCATCATTAAGCCTAATGTTGGTATTTTTATTAGGTTATTTTTCTAAACGATTTAAAGTCATGGTTGAATACAATATGGGCAGTGGATTAGGCAGGTAGTAAACGTGGAAGCATAATGGAGGATGCTGTTTGGGACACTGTCACAGCAACAAGATGTAATATAACTGATTTTACAATGAGAATGTAACTCCAAAAATGCATGTTTGTAATAGTTGATGACTTGCCCTCAACAGAACTATCACAGCATCCTTCCCTTGTTTTGTTAGTGTTTTATTTGCCTGCAATAAAATCCCACATGCTCTTTCACCTCCCTTTTGGTAAACAGTTTTAGGTTCAGCTCCAAACCTAACACGACTCACAAAAGGTTACAGCTGCACTTGTCATTTTAATGTAGATGATAAATAAAAATTGTATTTTTTGAGACTGTGTGACTTTTATGTTCATGAAGCATCTAAAAATGGTGGGTATGCATCTAATAATCACTAATTATCATCTGTCAATCACTTTTATTTCCATGCTTTAAGAATTCAAATGATGTTTAATGAATGTGCACAAGTTTTTGCCTGATTTGTTCAACTGAATGTGTTGTGTTGTGTTTGGAATCACCATGGCCACTGCTCTGGTGAGCCCGAGATGCCAAATTTGAGCCATTAAAACAACTTAATGTTTAGATAATCCTGTGTTTGTTAATGAAAGTCACATTAAAATGATACGTTGAGACCCTTTAAAAAGGCCTGCATTCATTCAGCAGGGAGAACGCTTTCAGAGACTGTTTTGGATGTGTGCTAAGAAAATATTTCACAGACTCTTCTGTTATCTGAGTAGCTTGAGCAGTAACTCTCTCATGCCGCTGTGGATGTAACAGAGATGTGTCAGGAGCAGAGCTGTGCACTGGCGTGGAGCAGACAGCGTGGTGCGTGGAGCCGCTGACTGCGCTCAACAAGGCCAAAACCTCGATGTATCACCGCACCACACAGCGAGGAAGTTTCTTTTTGTCCCCTCGATGTTCAGGCAGACCAGATGAAGTTACAAACACACCAGCTTGCATTTAAATGGAACACAGATGGACTGTTTTCCCAGAACTCAGTGTCTTCAGAGATTTGACAAATTTGACGTTTGATGATACAGTATATTGTTAGCATTTAGCAGATGGATGATATGATGGCCAAGGTCAAATCAATCTGTACAGTAGCTGGTTCTGATTGTTCACTAAACAATAAAGACTGAGGGGACAGATTCAAAGCTACATACATAATTTAACTGGTGGATGCGTGGACAGAATGTCCACATTTTCATCCAAAATAGTTTTGCAGTTTTTAAGAGACTATTCAACACTTGGATATCATAAAATGTATGTTTCATAAGTTGCCAGACTTTTCAGAGGTGTATGGGAACCCTGAGATTAAAGGCCTCCAAGTTTTTAGATGATTTATGATGGACAGGAGAGACAGAGGTAACTGGAAGAGAGAGGAGAAGGCAGCAAATAAGAAAGGGATTCAGGAAAAAGGTGGTGGAGAAAAGTGATGGAGATTTCTAAAACCACAATGAGTTAATGAGGCTTTAAATCAGGTGGAGTTGTCCAACTGGTGAAAATGTGGCATAGGAGCTCAGCAGGGAGACGGTGCTACACCTCGACTTCCCTCCTCTTCAGTCTTCCCATATAAAGTGCACAAACAAATGACTTGCAGCAGGGGACATTCTATCCACCACACACACACTCATACATAAGTATGGTTGGGATCTAGCCTCATCCCACAATGTATGACCTGAACATGATGTGGAGTGACTTGTGAAAACTTAAGAGATAAGAGACAAAACAGAGGAGAGGAGACATGAGAGAAGGGCTGATATGCTGGGAAGAAACTATGTTACAGTGTGATCAGAAAAACCTTGAGCAGAGAGAGAGAGAGAGAGAAAGCAGCATCCGATCGAGTAGCAACAGAAGGTCTATAACTGGAAAATAGTGGGGAGGGGTGAAGAGGGGGAGGCCTGCTGTCGTCCCCATGTAATTACTGTTCCACTTCTAATGGCTCACTGTTCTGAAAAAAGGAAGGTTGGAGGAGGTGGGGACTGGGCCACAACCTCACACTGATGATAAGAAGAGTTCCAGGTCAAAGTTCATCTCTTAAATAGGAAGTGGGCTGTGGAAAAGTTGGGTCAGGGAGAAATGGGGGGCTCTGATCCAACCGTGTGTCCCCATTTAGGATTTAACTAAACAAAAAGCACACCTTCTGAACAGACCCTGTAACATCCTCAAGTCTGTCTGCCTGGAAAAATGACACCCGAGTCAGCACAGTGTCAAACTGACTGCAGTGTGATCCTTCACATGTGCACTCTCAGTGCATCAGCTCGAGTCTGTATGGGAGAAAGGTTTGGTCAAATAAAACACTAAAAAATAATAACAAAAAACTAAATCAAGCCTCCAGTTTAGAGCTTGGTCCTTCAGAGAAAAGAGTTCATTCAAGCCAAAGGTGAGGCTGAGCAGCACACCCACACACAGAGTGAGTCAAAGATTAAAACACAGAAGAGACAGAAGTCCTCTCCACTCTGCAGTGATCTGGGCCAGAGTCTCTCTCTGTCCGTCTCCTCCAGCTGATGTCTGCAGTCCAAAGCAGCTGAGAGTCTGTGGAGCTGAATGTACGTTTGTCCAGTGTTGGTGGGTGGGTCTTTGGCCAAGCAGACAGGCAGATGGTGCCCCCTGGTGCTGTGGTGGGGGAAGAGAGCCTGTCTGTCTACCGCTGAGCCAGTTCACTGCCAGGCAGGGTGATGTTGCCCAAGTGGAGGACAGGAAGTGGGTGGGCCTCCGTGTTGAAGACCCAGCTCTCCAATGGCATCAGGTCGTCACTGGAGAACAACAGGTACAGATACCTGAGGGGGTGAATGATGGGTGGGGGGTGTATATCAAAGGGAGGACAGGAGTGAGGGTAGGTGGGGTCAGGTAAGAAAGGTGAAAAAGAAGAAAGAAGTGAATGTCATCACTGCCACACAAAACCTGAAATCAGTTCTGTAGATTAGTTTTGATGCAGAAAGTCAAAGCCGTGAATTTACATTTAACCATTATTATTAAAAAGGAATGTTGTCTTGCAATCAGTTTTTATTTTCCTTAGATTTTACTCTTTATATTTGCTGGTTTAGATGCAGGGTTACATTATGGAGAACACATCACATCCCCTCCACGACCGGAACACACACGTATGTGCAGATTTAACTGAGACGTGAGGTTGCATGTGCTCAAAGTTAACATTTACTGTGACGGTCAAATCTTTCAATTCCCTCACAATGTGTTCCTTCCACTCTGGCTTGATTTAAAGCTTCTCCATAAATGTCCATCAAATGTGAAACGTCCTTATCTCTCCTCTGACCCTGCTGCTGACACTGAATGATGATGAGGGAGATGTTTAAACAACCACATGAATTCTAATCAGACAGTTCTGACAGTACTTGCAGAGTCAGAGATCAGATATGAGTCAGATCTAGGAGCAAATATAGAGGCGGCCCAGATCTAATTTGAAAAAATTCTATTTGGTTTGTTCACACATCCATGAACAAAATCAAATCTGAGTGGCTTCAGTGTGTAATGTGAATACAGCTTTTGTCAGAGACTTTTTCAGACAAAAGCGCCACAGGAAGTCTGTCCTGTCAATGGCTGTAACACTCCTCCGTATCATGAGAAGGAGCTCATCCTCTGACAACATATTTACATGTACATTAATTGATATTAACCATGAATAATGCACCGTAATGTACAGTTTCTCAGACATCCATTCACCTGACATGAGTGAACTAAACTTTCAATGTTTACCAGCTACAGTATTTCACATTAAAATGTAACATCCATCTGTTTGCTATTTTTTGTGCACAGACTCCAAGACATGGACGAGGTTGGGATTTAGAGCTTTAATTTATGAACACCTCACTTATCTATGTGACTATCTAGATCAGTGTGACTGGCAGCCAGTCAGCAGCCTGGTTGATGGAGAGCTGTTGTATTGAACTGGGTGCTGCCCAGTTGGGACTAAGACTGAGAACAGAGAGACGCCAACGGTTGCATAACACTCAAACATTCAAATGTCATCGCTGGAGTTAGCAGCCAGCGCGATGGGTGACCTTTAACAACTCAGACATGAAAAACAAATTTTACTGACATTTGATCCTTTGTGGTCGTTAATTTCAGGCACATTAAAGTGAAAAATGGAGGGCTGATAAGTAGCTCCCTGCGATCACACAGGCTGGCAGGGCAGCCCACACAGCCCATGTGCTCTGATTTATAATGATCTCTGACCTGTCAGACTGTTCGACTGTGCACGGCATAGTACTGCCAGCAGAGGGAACTAGAGAGCCTGAATTCAGTACAGTAACCAACCTGTGGTCAAGTGGGTGACTGTGAGTATAAGCACATAAGAAAGGGGAATAAAACACTGACTTCTGTTCATCACACCACTAAGTAGCACTGCTGTAGTTAACGCTCCCAGGACAATATATTACTATAAAGTACACCGCCCACTTCCTTTAAAGTGCACAATACCAATACAATAGAATCTTGTGTAAGTAGTCTGCTTATTTTTTTCCCTAAATTCACAATGTACATGAAATAAGCATAATAAAGCTTTTTTTTTGTAAACCATGCAGAGTTTGTGTTTAAGGCTTTCGTTTAATCTTGGAGAAAACACATGACCCTAAAATTAATGTCACACTTAGTTGGTTAGTATAGGTTCACGTGCTTGGGCATCCTCAACAGTGAGGAGCAGCATCGGTTACCATTCCTGTCCGTACAGGTCGTCAAGTGAGTCCTTCCTAAGGCTAACAAGGTTCACAGTCCTCATTCTGTGCAAAAATGCATTGTGAAGTTCAGCTGCAGGTTATATGAGGCTTCAGCTGTCTGAGTTAGACAAATCAAGTCTTTCAAAGTTTGTCTTTTTAATCTGAAATGCAGTGCTTCTCACCCGCACCTCAGCAAGGAAAACACTGTCTGGGGAAACACAAACAGGCCATGTTGTACCGACTTGATTAGGGAAGGATTTCACTGTATTTAATTATTTGATTAACTGAGACTAATGAAGCTGCACATAAGCTTCAGCCAAATATAAGCTCTGTGCACAGGGCAAGGACTGTGGATTTGGTTTCCCATCACTGACACTGGGATCACATCAGAAATGATCCCTTCGCTGCCAATGTGTACAGAAGGGACAGGCTCAGTTACATGCTTCAGTGTACATAAGCAAGTGAGTATCGGTATTGTCTTAAGACAGACTTGATGAAAATGTGGACCTGTCTTTGTCTCATGGAAGACTGACTGACGTGCTGCAGCAACACGTTTTTCTGCTCATTTAATTAAAATAAAGTATGAGCAAGTGGTTGGTGCATTCACTTTTTGCTGGCAGGTCCTTTCGACCCTCCGCCCACCCACCACATGCATTAATCCCAAAAATGATTAATTAATGAAAACATACTGTTGATTGCTAGATGAAGCCAATGAATCAACCTATCAGAGTTGGCTTACTTGAGTGTCTCGGCCAGGAAGAAGCTCTGCTGCACATCGTCGTAGGTCGGGTTGGAGGAGTAGACATCCTTCACCCCCGAGAAGCCTCCGCTCACCCTGCAGTACTTATCGATGGCCTGGAGAAGACGAGGACAGAGGAAAGGGAAGGGAGCGAGAGGAGGAAAGACGGTGGGAGAAAAGAAAGGTAGTTGAAGGAAAGAAATTAGGAGATATAAAGAAGAAAAAAAGAAGGAAAGATTTGGAAGAAAAGAGGAATAGTGCAAGTGTGGATGTAGAAATAGATTAAAAAAGGAAGACCTCTCTCATAGATCATTTTTATAATCTCCTACTCAAGTTATCTTTGCATCTTGATCTGCAGATTTCTATTGAACGGGTGAACAATTCTTGATAACCATGTATTTTACTTTCAGGTATTGTTCCTTTTAGTAGGTAGTTGATTAAGAAAACAACAGTTTTTGAACATGTTACTTGTATATGCATGGATTTGAAGCTAAAACAGTTGTTGATTTGGATTTTCTTTAAAGAGTCCATGACATGCTTTTCCTTGTTTTTTTCACTTATCTACAATGTTACAATGGTGAATTATCATCTTAGACGTGACCTAAAGCTCAAAAAATGAGGTGTACGTATGTTCTAGTACTTCTGTGCAGAAATATCTCAGTTCATACACGTCTCACAAACTCTCAATTGCAAGACTTTTTTTCTAACAAACTGACACAGACTACGTGACAGTTTAAGGATTTCCTTGAATGGTCATACTCTAGGTGTTGCACGTTCATGTGAGCTCACCTGACATCCACTGGTGCCATTGTAAAAGCAGAATTTTGACTGCACCTGGTTTTGTGGATACTGTATATTTTGCCTTGTGCTGCTGCACTGTGACCAGAGGATGTGGATAAAAATACAGGGCCTGAGGTTACTGCATGTACAGGGACTTGCTGTTTTACCTGGCCAGGTCTAGGCAGCTGGCCTGTGAAGCCCCCTCAGTGGTGAATGATCAGCTGGGCCCAGGTGATCAAGATTATGAAGATTATGATGACACACCAGTAATTCTGAGTATTTCTCCAACAGTAAATCAGTAAGCTGCTGTGCCAAGACACAGGCATCACATATAATGGCACGCCTCACTAATGCTGCAAATGCTGGGCGCTGTTTTGGCTTTGAGGAACAAAACTGTATCACCTAATTGAAAACAAGTCACATCTGAGAGCAGATGCTGTCCCCATCTGCAACAGCAACACCTCATTAACAATGCAGCAACCGTCCAGCTGGTGGTACCGACAGTACGCAGTTACCTGTGTGCTCTATTGATTTACAATGAGAACGTGTTACAGTGAAATTGGTGCCTGCATAAAAATTCTATCTGCATTACACTCCTACTCATACCTGGTCAACTTTCACTCTTAATGCATGTAATTAATTGAAAGCATTATCTCTGTCCTTGTCTGTCAGTATCTTTCTCTCTCACACACACAAACACGTCTTCTCCCTGCTTGCTGTGCTGACTGACCATTTCATTGTCAGCAGAATTCCACTGCAAGAGTATGGACCGTAATTCCTGTTATTGATGGGCTACTGTGTGTGTCTGCCCTTCTTGATCCACACCGCAGTGTGAGGCAACTGCCTGTACAACACACATCATGCACACCCACAGCATTTGTATAGCTATCTTTGTGAGGACACTCACTGGCATAATGCATCCCCTAGGACCTCACACTAACCTTCAAAACTAAATGTCTAACTCCACCCCTAACACCTAACCTTAAAACTGATCCTAACCTGAACCCTCAAACCAACTCTCAATCAGCCTTCTGAAGTTGGGCGAAATGGCAAAAATATCCTCACTTTCCTAACTTGTGCCCATTCTAACAGTATTAAATTCTGAGTGATCTGCACACTGCTGGCAGTATATGCTGATCACCCACAACCTTAAAACAACTGACAGGTGAAGTGAATAACGCTGACTGTCTCATTACAGTGGCACCTGTCAGTGTGTGGGGTATATTAGGCAGCAAGTGAACATTCACTCCTCGAAGTTGATGTGTTGGAAGCAGGAAAAATGGGCAGTGTAAGGATCTGAGTGACTCTGACAAGGGCCAGACTGTGATGGTGAGATGACTGGGTCAGAGCATCTCCCACACTGCAGGTCTTGGGTAGTGCCTACCAACAGTGTCTAAGGAAGGACAAATGGTGAACTAGCCACCCCCCTAAAGAACAGTTACTACAGTAAAAATTGATGGAAAACTTAATGCTGGTTCTGATAGAAAGGTGTCAGAAAACAGTGTGCAGCCCATGCTAGGGCAGTAGTAGATCTGGGTAAAAGTGCTCTGATACACCGATCAGCCATACCAGTATGACCATCTACCTAATATTGTTTACATAGGAGTCAAGGAGTGAAAACTGTGGTCGGGGTGGAGGTGGTGGGTCTGGAGGGGGATCTAACGGACTGGACCGGACAGGTTTGATCCTGGACACATGGAAAGAGAGGTGAGTGCGAAGAGTACGAGGTAGCCGAAGCCTTATGGGACCGAGCTGTTTGGACACCGGAAAGGGTCCACAAAGCGTGGCGCCAACTTATGGCACTTAGTTCTGGGAGGCAGGTCACGAGTGGAGAGCCACACCATCTGCCCTGGTCTATACTCGGGGGCCCTGGAGCGGTGTGTGTTGGCCCACTTGGCATAGCTCAGGACCGTCCGGAGGAGTACCATGCGAGCCCTCCTCCAGGTCCAGTGGCAGTGGCGCACCAGTACTGAGGCTGAGGGTACTCGGATCTCCGGGTCCAAGCTGGGGAACAAGGGGGATAATAACTATAGTTACAATCGAATGGGGATATCCCTGTGGTGGACAGGGGGAGTGCATTGTGGGCTTACTCTACCCACACTCTGGCCTGACTACAGAGGAGCCGTAGCCAGCGGGACAGAATCATGACAGGAGATTGTCATTTGATCAGTACTGCGATTGAAGGTAGGCCTTAAAATACATCCACAGCTGCACCTCCTATTGACTCAAATTATGTCAATTAGCCAATCAGAAGCTTCTAAAGCCATGACATCATTTTTTTGGAATTTTCCAAGCTGTTAAAAGGCCCAGTCAACTGAGTGGATGTAAACTTCTGACCCACTGGAATTGTGAATGACTTCAGCCTAAGTGTATGTAAATGTCCGACTTCAACTTTAACTGTTAGCTCTTCACATACAATAAATGTTTTATTGAAAAAAAATGATTTTCATCTATGAAAGAGCAGAAAACAACATATCGGATGCGACAAGCAGGCAAGTATCAGAAAGCAAGTGACTACTAGCGTGTTAAAAAGCTCAGTAGGTTAAGGTGTAGACAACACAAGTCCTCTACAGTATATTGCAGTTTCATAGAACTGCTTTGCAATGAACACAATCTTTGTGAGGTTAATTATTTTTGGGTCTTGTTCAGACTGCAGTGGATTTGTGTTTTCCATTATAAGGAAATATTTTAGACTGTAGTTTAATTTGCCATGCAGTGAGGTGTTTCCTTTTGTCTTCTGTATAGAGCTGATGACCAGAAACCTCTCATTTTCCTTGGGTTTCTCATCATTCAAACTATGTTCGATGTGGCAGCCATGTCCATGGAGATTGGCTTAAACATCCTAATAATCTTAGCAAATGTGGTCACAGGTACATCTAGCTGCTTGGAGATGGTCTTGTAGCCTTTACCTTTAACATGTTTGTCTATAATTTTCTTTCTAATCTCCTGAGACAACTCTCCTTAGCTTTCTGTGGTCCATGTTCAGTGTGGTACGCACCATGATACCAAACAGCACAGTGACTACTTTTCACCCTCTAAATAGGCAGACTGACTGATTACAAGTTTGAAAACACCCGTGATGCTAATTAGAGGACGCACTTTAGTTTAACATGTCCCCTTTTCTAGGGCTACCATCATCTTGGTCCAGGCCAGTTTCATTAGTTTCTTCTGTTGAACCACAATTCAAAAGCAATGACTGATTTTCATTAGTTAATTTTCAGTAAATGTTTATTTATTATTACTTTTGTCAGTTTCACATTAATTCAGTGACCATTGTGAGTTTCTCTTTCTTTAAGGGAAGGGTACCATTAATTTTGTCCACGTCTTATGTGTGCTGTATTCAATAATGCAAGAGAGGCACAGACTAGCACTTCAGCTCCAGCTCTTTTTGGTGTCACTCATACCCAGTATAATCAGGCTTCATAAACACTTGCCAATATATTTACTTAGCTCGTGAGCGCATAAACTCCCAACTCAGCAAAACAAAGAATCACTGCTTAAAAATGGAGAAACAAAGGTGACTAAGATTGGTAGGAAAAAGGGAGAAAGAAGAGCATCAAAAGAGTAGGAGGCAAAAAAACTGTACGATGAGCAGGCCGGTTGAGATTTAGATACAATGACTGCCACAAGGAAGGCGATTTCTTAAATCCTCTGTCAGAAGATGTGGAGAAGGGGAGTAAAAGGAGAGAGGGGGCTTTCATTTCTGCTCTACTTTCTGAAAGCTTTTATTTTAAGACACAAAAAGAGGGAGAAATAACTAATAAACGCAGTTTCTCAGATCCGCCTACAGGTACAAATCCCCCACAAAGAGACACATAAAAAAGCAGTTCTCTGCATCGCTGGCCACCAGCAGCCATCAACCACTCCCAAGTGTGATAATGATAAACAGAAATCTATATTCGCTGTCAGGTAAAACCTCTCACTGCTTCCACCACAGTCTACGTGACACAAAGACCTGAAAACTGAAAACTGTGAGATACCACTTTAAGCCCCCCCTCATATGCTGTGTGGAGCTGGGTGAGACCTGCACTACTCTGGTTTCATGAGTTCAAATGAAGCTTAAAACAATTCCCTGCCACAGGCTGTCAGTAATGTTCAGTTAAAAGCATTAGGCACCGGGGAAATGGCACAAAAACAACTCATTACTGTGCAGGTGACATGCTTTTAGCAGAGAGACAAATGAACACTCATAACAACAACACAGTCTGATCTTATGACTCAAAAGTTGACATTAGCGTTTCAGCTGCAGCAAAACAGGCTCAGCTCACTGTTTAGACATTTTCACTTCCAACGGGCAGAAATGGATAACAGAGCATTAAAAAAAAATACATATATTCAGGTTTTTTTTTATATTTACTAAACTATAATAATGAATTCACATAAAGAAAAAGTAAGTGTTGGAGTAATCAACATTTTATGGCAAAATACATACTTCACAAGCCACAGAATGTAAGTTACAATGGAAATGCTGTTTTTAATCTTTATCTACAAACAGAAGGTTTGCAGAGCATGAACCTGCCACTGGAGCCACCTGCTAAGACTCTTTCATTTCATCTGCAATTGCATAATGGTGCTTTTAATGCATCAGCTCCTGGCACAAAGCAAGCTGAATGTTTTCATACTGCCTCCAAGAACAGTGCACTTCACTGCAGCTGTACTTCACTGCCCCAGTCACCTACAGTAGGTAATTAGAACAGGTGCACGCTCAGCTCCGCACCTCACTGGTTGTTTAAAAGCTAGATCCATATGTTCCACTAAGCAAGGTACTGATTTCAGATGAGTACAAACATGGGTAATTTAAAAAAAGAATTTATAAAAGAAAGACGAAGCGGGGCAAAGTCTGGGCTCAGTGGTCTTTAAACTTCCTTTAACAGCATCGTAAATGATGCAAAGATGCTAGTTTATTGTCTGCTACAGCCACATTTCTGTTCTGTTCTAGAAAAAAATCCAAAAAGGGGGAAATTTTTATTTTATAATTTATATTTTTTTCATCGTAGCCCGGCTGGTCACACTGTGCCACACAGCAGCCTGCTACACAAAAGACTGAACCACAACCCACATCAGCTACTGTCACCTTCTTAGCTAATGTACCTGCATGAACCCATCGTGCCCTGTACCTGAGCTTGTTTACTGAGCCACAAAGCAAACATCAGCCAGGGAAAACGGCACTGCTAATGTCAGTTCAATTGAATTAATCAATTTGAGGTTGATTATTATTAAACTGCTTCACTTAACTCTCATGAACCCCACTAGATTTTGCTATATGTAAACCCTCTCTGCACAACTGTTTTCTAGAGCGAGAGCTGATGATTCATGGAGTTATCACACTTGGCCTGTTTCATGGCTCTCCTCCATTTAACAATGCCAGAAACTCTGAAAGCTTTAGCTCCTTTCTTTTGGGAGAACAAGGTCTCATACATGGTTTGTGCCCCAAAGCAAGTCCAACAGATGCTGCAGCAAATCCTACATGATGCTTCACATTGTACCAAGCAGTGCAAAGGTCTGTTAAAAATGTTTACAGCCATTAAACTCAGAATGAAGAACAGATTTCTTTACTGATATTCAATTGATGATGTACTAGTTTCACAATGTATACAAACACATGCTCTTTACCTGTGCTGCCTCCCAGCCCCACTGTCTGTATTTAGGATCGTGGGTGAACCTCCACATGTACCAGTAGGTCTCGATGACCTCTGGCCGCAGGATATAGTACTTCTCATTCTGCCGTACAGCCACCGCCTCCAGGCCACTGTCAAACTTAAAGGCCTCTGGGCCGAGCTTCAACACTTGATGGAAGAAGAGAAAAAATGGAAAAGAGAGAAGAAGAAGAAGCAGATGGAGGCAAAGGAAAGGGTAGAAAAAGAGAGACAGGGAAAAGAAGGAAGGAAACAAAAAACAAGTGATAGAGGGAGAAAAGAAAAAGGACAAAAATGAGGAACAACGGTGATGAAGAAAGAAAGAAAGAAAAGTTAAATTGAAACAGGCAAAGGTGCAATGATAAGAAGGGTGAGGTGGGGGAGGACAGATGAAAAAAAGGGGACATAAAGGAAAGAAGTGACAGGAGGAAGAAAGAAGGGAACGTAAAACAAGTAAATAATGATAAGGAGAGAAAAATGAGAGAGGAGTTAACATTATCTTTTACTCTTGTTTGGTCTTCATGGTTGAGATGCTGCTGATTACAAGTCTAATCTGAGTTAGTGTGTGTGTGTGTGTGTGTGTGTGTGTGATACAGAGCAATAAAATACTATTGATTTCACTGGCTTTTCATCCTTTTATAACCAGTGTTTCCTGCCAATTAAGTGTGATAGGCATCAAGGGTCTAACTGTGGAAAATGAATGTGATGCTGACAAGGCCACAAAAGGACCTGAAAGGATTACAACACACTGACACATGTGCATGAACACACACACACACACACACAGGTTGCTGTGAATGACTGCTTATTAAGAACTAGCAGGCCAACTACACACAGTCTGACCACTGCTATCACAATCCCTGTCACTTCACTAGAAAGTTCTCCCCTTGTCTCTCCCGCTCTCCCTCTTGCTTCCTTTGTTTCCATGGCAACCTCTCCTCTTTCTCAGAGCAGCATCACAATTTTTGACGACACATACATATGCACACTGATTACATGTGCAGTCATGACACATGGTTGGTTCTTTATCAATACTCAGTATCAGCAAGTATTCAAATGTAAAGAAAGTACTTGTGGTATCGGTGCATCCCTCATTATGGGTGTCCCTCTATTGAGCATAATAAAAACAATGAGTGGCCACCATGGATTAAATGTAAGAAACTGTAATAAAATCTAAGCTATCTTCAGGTTGCCATAGTTATTTCAGACTGTATTACTCTACAGCCAAGTTTTTCCTGTGTGTTTATGGTTCTCACCGGTTCTGTCATAGGACTCGTGGCAGGTGTGTGCGATCTCGGCTCCCAGCTGCAGGTAGTGTCCGGCCTTGTCGTCGGACGAGCCGTCAGCGCCCAACGCAAACATGCCGCCGGCGAAGCAGGCCAGGTGGCCCATCTTCCGCTCCAGGTGGCCATTCTTCCACTCACCAATAAATGTCAGACCGCCGTTGGATTTGCGTATCAGGTGGCGCTCGATGGCCTGGAGGGAGAGAAAGCGAGTGTGTGTGAATGTACAGTAGATGCAGTAAATGGGGATGTAAGAGATTTATGCATTTTGGGGAAGGTGTGGAGCAAGCAGAATCATTCTGAGTGAGAATGTGGACAGATGTTATAGAATATGAAGTGTCCCTATGTGTGTGAGTGTATTTGTATGCAGGCAGTGACTGAAACATGAGGATGTGTGGTATTTATGTCGCCGGGTGAGAAGAGATAAGGTCAGAAAATTGGTGGGAATATGGATATATGTTATGAATGGAATATTAAGTGTATGTGTGTGTGAATGTATTAAAGGATTTGTGTGAATAGGGCGTTGCAATTGAGTGCATGTGTTTGACTGTAGGGAAGGTCAAACAGAACAAAGTGGTGAGGGCAGAATTTAAAATCCTCTGCTCTGCTCTCTCTCTGACACTCGTGGTGACTGACAGACATCATTAGCTACAGACCACTATCATCTGCTTCCTGCTACAGTCAACCCAGGGAGTGTCTCATTGGTCAGCAGCTGTACAACACATGCAAAGTTCTGACTGCACTGCACCTCGATGGCATCATCGTAGGTCTTGCGAGCTTCTGTATCTGTCTTGTCTGACATGAGCCACGCCTTCAGCAGGTATTCATAAAAGCTGTCCCCTAGCCCTCCGACTGAAGTGTGATCTGGGGGAGAAAGGAAAAGAAAGAGAAAAATGAAAAAGCCAAAGCAAGTTATTCATTTTTGCCTCAAAGTTCTTGACAGAGCACAATATGTGGCACCAAAGGCATTGAACCCCGGGTGTTGTTTGTTTAATACATTTCATTTCCTGTTTTGTTTACCCTTTTCCTGATGTGCTCACACTTCACTGTCCCCACTCATCCTCTGGGAAGTTTATACAGCTTTCATGGCTGTCCTAATTTACAGGACACCACGTAGTGAAGATGGGACAGTGGCCAGCAGTCACACTGATCTCACTAACAAAACAAATCCTGTTCTCCAGGGGGCATTTTGAGCCCACTTTGATCTGCTTTATAATGGCGTTTTAGTCTATTTCAGGGTAAATTTCACTGACCTATAAAATACTGTTTACATGGTTAGCAAAGATTTTCCAGAGAATACAGTACCATCATGACATTGCAAAAGCAAGATGGGTAAATTCTTAACTTCTCTAAAAATGACAGAAATAGCAAATCATTTGCAGTTCTAACAAGTGAACCTTTTGTTGTTTATGCAGGTATACAGAGTTATTTTGAAATAAGCAAATTAATAAATGGGTGGTAAAATTCCAGTCATCCCTTTAGAGCTGATCTTGTGGCTCATGATCTCAAAAGTCCAGCTGGGAGAAGCAAACATGGATGGAAATGGGTTTATTCTGGCTTCAGTGGGTGAAACCGGAATACTCCTCTATGTACAACCATCTCTTCAGCTCTGCCTAATCATATTTGATGAGCAGATGGTCTGTGTCTCATCTAAACAGATGTGATTAGCGGGGTCGGAGGAAAGTGGAGGGTTGCACAAATATGAGGAATAAGAAAGATGAAGAACCAAGGGAAGCACTGACTTATTCATCTTTTGTCACAGACAGAAACCTCACAAACAACCCTGGAGATACTACTCAGGGCAGAGCGGGCTGGTGTCCTGTGGATGACTGAGGTTTTACACAGACAACATTCTGAGACTGTTGGTCTAACGTTATGCAAATAAGCCAGTATGTTGGAATAAAGGTTTTTACAAGGCACGGCACTGGCACTTTGCTGCATTAGATATTGTTCTTCCATGAAAGAACAAGCAGGTGTTCAAGCAGCACCAGCACTGAAGCACTTACACCCCCTTTCTCTGGGGTGTTAGGGTTTTTATTTGTCAGTTAATGATGTGGACGAAACTGAACATTTTCTTCGATGTAGCATAAAACCTGTTATTTCAGTAACAACCCTGCTTCAAATATGGCACTCACTATTCTGTCCAGGGCTGGAAACGACTACAAGAACTGGACCAATGCTGCTATATTTTGTCGTTCTGCTCTGCCAACCTCTGGCAGGTCACCGGCCCTCTTCCGGTGGCTCTCTTCATACCAAGTGATCACACTGGGTTGGTGAGGTACTGAAAGTGGCATGCAGGTATTTCTGAAAAACACCTTCGTGTCCACCTTGGCTCCACTGGCTGGAAAACAGCATGTACTGTATTTGTGGAGATGAAAGCCACAAAACCATTCTTTGGTCATTTACAAAAATGGGGCTCAGGTATCTGAAAGAGATTTGTGTAGAACAACTGGTACTTTGCTTTGAAACACCCTCTTGGACCCTCACATGTGGAGGTTTTCGGAGGACCTTCAATATCGACTTTGTATTCTATGAGACGTGAACTCAGGTAGTACTGGGGTGCATGTTTGGGAAAAAAAACTTTAGCCCTCTGCCAATGACCAGGCAGAGAAGAGCCGCAGAAATGAATGGATGGATGAATGCAATAAGTAACACTGGTCTACAGTCTTAAAGTTTTCTGCTTCCAAATTGAAACATGTTCATTTTTATGAATGCTGAGGTGCTGAACTCAAATATAACCTTTAAAAGAGCTGACTGGCTGTAGTTTTTAAGATATTTAGCCAACTAGATTTCATGCAGATGTTTAAAGAACTGACTAACAAGTCGGGACAATGACACCTTTCAGGCGAAGTACTGTATAGAGAAAGAGCATGACGGGTTGAGCTGAGGTATGAACATAATAAGCGCCTCATTTAAACAGTTTTTGTTATCATATCCACAGACAGTTTTGCATTTTGACAAAGTCTGATCATTTTCAACAGAACTTCTACACTGCCAGCGCCATATTTTACAAATCAAACCAATCAACATCTTTAGATATCATTTTCGTTTTCAGTGCCCAGAATTGGCAAAGATTATTTTTAAATGAATGTATTTTGGTTGTAGACCAGTGTAATTATCATCTCCATTACAGTTAATATAATTCCAGCAGAGCAGGAACCACCGATCCACAGCCAAGTACAGCTCAGGGTTCTAAGTTTGTTTAGATTCAAACTGCTGACAAGCTTTGGATTTCACCGGCTACTGCCGATGCAGTTTGAAAAGTTAACTTAGTTTGCAGTGATGAAGCTTTCTTACGTGAAGAGAAGCATTTTGGAAAGGGCAGAGATCCTCTCTCTGTGGATTTGGATTGGAAGTCAATAGCCTTCTGTTCACGCACAGAATAATTCATTAGCAGTTGGGTGACGGCAAATCCTCCGCAACGCAGTAGGAATTGTTTCACAGTAACACACACCCAAAAGTTAGCAATGCTTTGTTCCATAAAGACCCTGAATGCAGCTGTCACTGTCTGACAGTGATGGATGGTAATGTGCTTCTCAAAGCTCAACTTAGAAGATGAATTCTCATCCTTTGTTTTTCACCTCTATTATTTTGTGAAACTTTGAACCACTGCGGCAAAATCTCACAAATCATTTGTGAAGTGGATGACTTGGATTTGATTATTATGATATTACTAACTCTTAGAAATATTTTTCTATGATACACTATTGCAGACGTGATGTTTTTCTACATGTCACACTGTCCACAAGCTTTTCTATGAAGAGATTTTGCATTTAAGCCTGTAAATAACCACACTCTCATCTAGTTTAGAGGCTCAGAATACTTTTTGCTGTGCTCATCTTGGATTGTTTCACTATCTTGCTCATATTTCTCAATCTTATTTGAATGAGTCATTGATTTTTATAACAAAATGTATGAAAACACATCTGAAACGATGGCACAAGTGGCCTTTCTCACAAGACAAGGAAATAATAAGTCAGTGCAGATTGAAATACAAATTGGAAAATGAAGTGCTCATTTAACTTCTGCTTGTATGTTTTCCTATCTC